GCGGAGGATGGGTGAGCGGCAGCGCAGTGCTCGGCGAGGTGTCGCCGATCCGGGAAGGGGTGTGGTTGCAGCCGTCAATGGGGCACTTGATGCCTCCGACTGGTGCGTTGTAGCCGTTGTACTTCGCCGCAAGGTCTTGGACCCTGTTGGTCGCTACGACGGCGTTGACAACGGTGATGTCAACCTCTCACAGACCAGCGCATAGCGCCATAGGACGTATTTTCTTCTCATAACAAGGCTGTGCTCTGTGTGTCTGTGAGGACGCCGCAGGCTGAGGCTCGTTGTGCGAGTATATGGGCCACGATGTCTCAAATATGAGGGGTTTTGACTCCTATAGGCTCCTGACGCTATCCCTGGCAGCTCTAATGACCGGGATCAGTAGTGCTATGATAGAGGGTGCCCAGACTAGCGCAGGAGCTGCCACACTCGCCCGGACCGTCCCCCTCTGGGGCCAGTTCCGCAGCCAGCGAGAGCCGACAGCGGGGCCGTGCCGCGGGTGCCTACTGCCGAGTGCCACAAACACTGCGCCGTCCCGCCACCACCTACAGGCTGTCTTGTGTGATGGTTGGGATGTCCAAACGCCACCATCTTGGCTCTTGCGACCTCAAACCCGCGAGCTGTATGGGTGGTCCTGACGTCGACAGACGCCCGATGACCACGGTGAAGCTGAGCCGGAACGCGTCGACAAGTCTCGTCTGAGCCCGTGGCGGTCGCCGGCTGAGTCGCTGTGCACGGACTGGTACCTCAGGCGTCACCTCCGCAGCCTCAGTTCTCAAACTCCACCACCTCCGCCAGGACGCCGTCGGTGGCACGTTCGGCGGCGTACTTTCTGCAGCTCCATCTCGAGTACGGCGTCGAGCCTACTCAGACCACGACGTCTGGTCGTACTGAGAGTCATGAACCATGGGAAGTAAAAGAGGAACTAAAACCAACTACTACGGCTTTAAGCAGAGCCGCCGCGCCCCGCGCCCCGCCCGCCCCGCCCACCGCGCCCGCCACGTCCACGCCCCCCTCGCCCGCCTCGCCCACTGCGCCCCCCTCGCCCGCCTCGCCCACCGACCGCCGCCGTGGCGCCCACGGGCTGAGCCTGGGGCGCGGGGCGCGAGGGCGGCTGGTGGACAAACGTCGTCTGCGCCGCCACCAGCCGCCCAGTTGCGGCGATGGGCAGCGCCGGCTGGCGGCAGGCCGGGCAGTTGCTGTCGCGCTCCAGCACGCGCGGCGCACACGTCTCGCAGTACAGCGCGTGGCCGCACGCGAAGCGGACCGAACGCAGCGCGTTCCATGGCTGTGGACGGCGCCTTGAGAAAAACTTCTTCGGCACTTTCCAAATTCACCTTGTTTGTGCCTCCATGCGGCGCATCTCCCTTCCCAGTTTTCGTCGGCACGTTCGCACGCGCAGCGAGCCAGTATTGGACCAGTTGGACCAGGCGCAGCGAGAAGACAGTCGAGACCAGCTGCGCGTGGCGGCCCAGGCGCTGATCTCGGCAGTCAACGCCGGGAACGCGCCGATAAGCGAGTTGACCGAGATTATCCAGATGCTCAGCGTGGCGCAGCGGATGCCGGACACCGTCACGAGTCCCTGCTGCGCCGCCAGCGCGGGAGAAAGTGCGGCGGCTCAGAGCCCGAGCGCGGGCGACGGGGCGCACCACGACTATCTCTCCGAATACTCATCCTCCGCAATCGTTGCGAGGCCTTGGGGCGGGGGGCGGGCTCCTGCGCCCCCTGTCCGTTCCGGGACTCCGGCCGAGTACCCTGATCGCTCGCCCATCCGTGGCTTCCTCATTGACCTGGACGGGAGAGTCGCAGTGGGGCGGCGGAGGAGGCCACAATTGGCACCTCTCGGACTCACGGCCCTCCGAATAGGACGATGTACGAACCCGAGGGCCTCCTCCCCGGTGCCGCCGCCTTTTATGACTGGTTGAATGCCTCGCGTACGCCGCACGTCTTCCTCTCCAACACGGGCGCCAAGAATTCGGGCGGCGTGCAGAAGAAGTTCGGCTCGCCGCCGTTTGAGCTCAGCGAGAAAAAGGTGCGCCGCCTTGAATGCCGTCCTGGGGCTCCCTGGAGTTGCGAAGTCTACCACACCTTGCCTTAGGTGCCCCTCTCGTGCATCCTCACCGCCGCGGAGACACAGGTCGACTACCTGCTCAAGGAGGTGCCCCGCGGCGCGCGTCTCTTCGTCGTGTCCGGCGGCAGCGGCACGTGGCGCGAGGACCTCCTCTCGCGCGGCGGCGCCGAGGGCGCGGCGCTGGTTGGGACGTGGGACGTGCGCACCTCGCTGTCGGCTGGCGAGGCCAAGGCGTGGGCGGCGCACCAGGCGCTCTGCCGGCACACTGCATCAAAGGCGGTGTGGGTCGTGTTCTTTCACGACGGCGAGGTGGGCGGCTCCGGCTCAGAGACCAAGGACTGGAGCTTCGAGGTCATCAAGATTGCAGGCTTTCGGCCTGCTCTAACGGCCCCCCCCCCCCCCCC